AAAATTTCTTAACATGATAAAATATATACACTTTGTTTTGAAGGCTACCATCTTAATGGAGACGCTAATGGCCTTTTGAGTACACAAGAAAAGACAAAAATGCCCACTGTTTCCACTACTATTTATTATTATAACAGAGGTATCATCTAATGAACTGGACAAGAGAAATAATGAATTATGTTAATATGTAAAGAAGTGAAAATATCTCTAGAAAATACTAGAGAAGCAATGAACAGTAGGACTAATTTCAATAATAAAAGAACTCAAGGAATCAGGATACATAATTAACATACAAAATCAATAGTTTTCACAGACACAAACGATAACCAGGAGAGGACATCATGGCAAAGAAAGCACCATTTATAATAGCAACAAAGAAGATTAAATACTTAGGAATAAATTTGACAAAAATGTGCAAAACCTGTAAGAGGAAACACTATTGAAAGACAAAAATTAGACTTGAACAAAAGGAAAGGCATCCTGTTCATGGATAGAATAATCCAGCATCATAAAGATGTCAGTTTAGCAAACTCATAATAATAATATTAACACGCCTTTTTTCACGGAGCTAGCCACAGTTGATGCTAAAATTTCCAAGGAAAAACAAACATGCAGGAATAGTTAGGAACACACTAAAAAATCAAAACTATAAAAGTGGACTAGTGTGATTAAACCATACTGCACATCTCCATAATTAAAACAGGTGCTGCTGCCACAAGAATAGATGTACAGACCAGCAGAATAGAATAGAATAGATCTAAGTAAATACAGAAATTATAAAGAGGCATCATAAATCACAGAAACAAAGATGAGCTTTTTAATAAATATCCCTGGCACAACTAGGCAGCCACTCAGAAAAAGGAAAATTAGATGCTTATCTCACACCATACAAAAGAATAAACTCCACACTGATTAGAAAACTTTAAAATATATATATATGCATAATTTAATAAATTAATCATAGAGAATATGGCAAATTTCTCTATGAACTCAGTGAAGGGAAAAGCTTTCTATTTCTGACAAAATTCAGGGGCAATAAAAGAAGCAATTGATAACTGACTATATAAAAGAAATTTTTTTAATTGCATGATTAAATAAAGTCAAAGAACAGCCAAATAAGACTAAAACATTTGCAGCATATATCACAAAGAGCTAATATCCATAATATATAAAGAACTCTTAAAATCTGAGGGGAAAAAAGGAACAGAACTCTGAAAGAAAAATGGGAAAGATATAAAACAGACAATTCACAAAAGTGAAACAAAATGACTTTCAAATATATAAAAAGATGTCAAACTTCAAACATAATTTAAGAAATGCAAATTACCTTGAATACAATTTCTCACCTAACTGATTGGCAAACATTTAGGCCTGACCACCTATTCTGCAGATGAGGCTGAGGGCACTGTCATACATTTCTGTGGGGATACAGATTGCTACAACCACTTTGGAAGGAAATTTAACAATATCTAACAAAACTACTTACGCACTGACTTTTTTACCCAACAATCTCATTGTAGGAATTTACTTTGAACAGACACCACTAACAATATATGAAAATACATGTGCACATGCATAGCAGCGTTGTTTATAATTGCAAAGTATTGGAATCAACTTAAATGTTCACATATAGATGTGTTGAATAAACTATGGAGTATCCATACAATTGAGTACTATTCAACAATAAAAAAGCATGAGGGACATTTCTAGGAGCTGACATGAAATAATTCCCATGATATATTGTTAAGTGAAGAAAGCAAAATATAAAAGATTACCTTATGTGTAAAAAAGAGGGACAACTAAGAAAATATGCAAGTATCTTCTCATTCTGCAAAAAGAAACACTGGAAATATAAACCAGAAATGAATGAGATGGGTTACCTCCAGCAGTGGGTGAGAAGAGTGGAAGGAATAAGGAAATGGGAGTGAAGGTTGGGCTGAATGACAGTGAGCCTTTTTTTGCAAAAAGTTTCCTCTTATTACAATAGTAATTAAAATCAATAAATGTCAGCCTCAGTTTTTCAAAAATCACAAAGTTATCACTGGCATGATGTCTGTATTATTTCCTGATTTTCATATTCCTGAATTAATTGTTCATTTTTCAATTCAACAGCTTCTCTGAAAATCTACTACATACAGCATAATGAAGACTTTAAAATTGATTAAAATATTTTAATTAACCTCAAGAACCTATGTTCTAAATAATGTCTTATGTAGAAAATAAAACAAAATATTATGGATGCACAGAAAGCTGGAAGAAAAGCAAAAAAAACCCCCACAATTCACAAATAAAATCAGAAATTTTATGTTATAAAGACAGTCTGCAATAAGTATGCATCTTAATTTACTTCTAACTCCCTTATTATTTTATGCCATATTTTCTTCTAAAAATAACATAAGACAAGTTAAAATTAAAAAGCTAGACATACTAGAATCATTAAAACAATGTTAAGGGATATAATAAATCAAGTAAAAAAGTGGAGAAAGAGTTGTGTGGGAAAAGAAAATTCAATGAAAGGAACAATTCAGGAAAAAATGTTTTTTGTGAAGGTCAAGAAGGAAGAACACTGTTAAGTCAAAGACACCTTATTATGTAATAAAAAAAAGCAGTCTATTGAATGGGCTGCTGGACATTGAAGGCCCTTAAGAACATGTTTCTATGCCCTCTTGTAATACAAGAAGCAGTAAAGGTCTTTACAGTGAAAGCTTCTGGTAGTAGGGATCTCTGTTACTTGCAGCTGAAAGCATTTCCAATTCATACACAATCTGTGAACTAGATCGGATGTGATTACTCCAAACACCTAAACAATATAATCAAATTAACTTAAATAATTATATCAGATCTTCAGAAAGCAAACACACGAAAAATCAACCTGAAGATTAATAAGGTACAAGCAAAAACAAAACTAAACAAAGAAAACAAATAAAACAAGGAAAATAAACAGAAAGTATAGATAGAAACCTTGGCACTGCCCTCATATGCAAAGGATTTCATATTTGAGGGAGAAAAGGAAAAATGACTAAAGAGCTGGTCCCAAGAGATCCAACAGACCACAGGGTTCTCACTGACGATGGACAGATGAGCTTGGAGGTCAAAAGAGCCCAGTCATCTATTTAAAAACTGGCTGAAATGTAGGTCACATATCCAGGATCAGAGCTAAAGACAAAGGAAAGCAGATGTTTGATGAAGTTAGAAGACAGAATATGCAACTCTCTGCACCAGATTTTACATGTAATAAAAGGGCATGAAAACCAAATTATTTTTACTATCTTTTATAATATCCTGTTTTGCTCTTGTGATTCTAGGGAGTTTCATTCCAGAAAATGAGACATTTAATTTTTATGTTGTTAGAATCACCGCTTTTAATTTTATATTTTATCATTTAAATTCTAATTCCAAATATGCTAGATAATAACAAGATACCTGATGATTGTTTTAAATTTAAGGAATATGGTTTAAATGAGACTAAGCAGAAAGTTGTTGGGTCTTATGCTTAATTATATATTCTCTTAGGTTTTTAGAAACACTAATATACACCTAAAACTATTTGGTCTAAACTTAATAAAATAAGAGAAAGTCCAAACCTAGTAAAAAATCAAAAATCCAAAGAGAAATATGAACAGAAAATAATTGGACCAGGAGTAGTGATGTGATCTTTGCTGTGTTACTACAGAGATTTTTATTTTAAATGAACAGAAATTAAGGAAAACCTATACCAAATCCATTGCAACATATCTATGTCAAATCACCAGTTCACATGGCTGATTATTTCTGACATGGATGCAGATAAGGCTCCATAGAGGGCCTTGCACTGCCCAAGTGAAGAGGAAAAGGCCACTAAGTCTGCTTGGACAAATTTCGGAATACATTGATATCATCTGTGTTTGAAACAATGTAGTGACAATTATAGGGTATTCAAGTAAGTGGTCTGTGTTCCATGAAAGCATAGATATTAGCCACTAGAAAATACTGATTGGCCTTCAGTCTGATAGTCTGCTAGGCAAAGCTGCTAGTCTGAGGGTCTGTTTTCTGCAGAGCTGAGGTCTTAATCCCCTTACATCCTCAATACAGAGCTAGAAGGCAAAGTAACACTAAGAATTTTAATGTTTCCTTCCCTCTAGGTCACCTCTTTTCTTCTTACCATCCAATTCCAGGTGATCATTAACTATTTTTCTCCTCTCTTTGCATTAACTCCATCTTTGACCTTATAAATGATGCTACACTGTACAATAGAGCCTCTACCAACCTAGAAAAAAAGCCACACAGGAAATTTACATATATATATATAACCACATATAAAATGAAGGAATAAGTCAAAATGGCTATCAAACAGGCAAATTCCTTATTTAATAGTCAGTAATTTTCCACATTTATTTCATATTAACTTCTGAGTTACCTAATTTTGACAACTGATTAGAAGCAACAATCACATAATGATATTTTGAAGAAACAGAACAGAGCAGAGCTGGGAGCAACATACACGCTTGATGTTGACATGTGCAAAGATGGTACAGATCCGACTCCGAAGACCTCACACCAACAAGCCTAGGGCACCGACTGAATACTGTTGTGATGATACAGGCAGTAAAATCACAAAATCTGTAAACTGGGAAGGACCCTAGAAATTCAGTCATGTCTCCCTCCCATTGCAGAAGCTTCTTGTACATTACCCTACAGTGATGATCTGGCCAGTGTATGAACATGAGAAGTGCCTTATAAAGGAAACCCATTCCATGGCATAAAATGTTTTTTTAGAAAGATCATTCTTGAAAAGTAAAAAACTGCTTCCCTGTAACTTCGATTTGCTGATTCTAATTCATTTCTTCACCCACCACTTACAGAATAACTACTCTTTGTAGTAGACAGTATTTCCATACCAATAAAATGCATCTTCCCTTTGTCCATCTAGAGCGACAACCCATGCCAGGAATAGAAGCAAAGCACCGTCTTTCCTTTGTCACTGTTGCCCTTCTTCATTCCCAAGGCTCAGCACTGCTTACCTGAATCACACCTCCCAGGAAGGAAACTGCTGCAGCAACGCCAATCCTTTGCATCTCGAAGTCAGATAAGCCCAGCACACTTGTGTTACTCTGTGGGGTGAGGTTCTGACTGCTCAGCGGGACAAGCCGTTCCACTGCGTTGGCTGATATTAAGGATGTCAAGGCAAAGGTGCCTAAAAGTGGGTAGCGGGTGGGGGGAATCTTCTATTAGTAACAGATTTAATAAAAATTGTTGGATTCCACCATTAAGGTTGAATCTGTGTTGTAAAACTGAACAGATCTGTTGGAAACACTCTTCTGCGCAGGCCCACTCCTCCCTTCACTCCATGGAATAAACAGAACCATACCCACATATACATGTATTCTTTCAAAATATAGCCACAGTCATCAACTTGCTATTTACTCCCTAGCCATTCATTTTCCCACCTCTCTGCAGGCAGGACAGAGAATATCCTCGGGGCAGGGATTAAGATCAAAGCCTGAACTTGAATTCAAGTTCTCTATTTATTAATAAAGTGACTTAAGGCACATTACTCTAAATCTACATGATCCCATCCATAAAATAGGGGTAATAATATCTACACTTCAGTGTTTTGGGTGAATATAAAAAGGTAATAAATATGAAAACCTCTAAAGGCACAGTGGCTAAATACAAGCTCATTACTGAATATGAGGCTCTTTGCCCAAAATGCTTGCTCCTCCAACCTACCTGTGCAAACACTCTTGTCCTTCCAGGTCTGACTCAAACCCCCTATCTGACAGGGATCCATCTTTGACTCTCCAGGCCAGGTTTAATCTTTCTACTCTGTACTCTCATGGCAGAGTACACCTTCACCATAGCATAAAAACAACTGAAAATGATTAGACATACCATTTTCATCTGCTGAAATAAGATAAGGTTCAGAGGTATTTCCCAAGGATTATCCTCACCTCCCAAAAAATGCAGAACCATTTCCAGTGTGTTTTCCTCTTTCTACCCAGGGTTCTGATAGCTCTCGTTCTGGCACAGGCATGTCTGAGAAAGCAGCCGCACAGGCAGGGAAAGGCCGATTCCCACGGAGAGCTCAGCAAACTTGGATTCAAGACACAAGTTGCAGTATCGCGCAAACATTCCCCCTGACTCATTACTTAAAGACCTTATTTTGTTACAGGTGATAAATAAGACTGTGAAAAAGGGCATGTGGCAAGATGTAGACACCTCAGTACAAAGAAGGCAGTGGTATAAGGCAAGGGAGGCAAGTCAAAGAGAAATAGCTCTAAACAGAAACCCAACACAGACCATTTCTGGGGCACACTGGCTAAGAGAGGCTGTGTGTGCTATGGATCAAAACAGCATGGTGGTCGTGGACTCCAATAAACCTGATCTTAATCTCAGCACTGCCACTTCAATCTCTTTATCTGTAGACAGAGAGCATTGCTCACCCAATGGAGTAGCTATAGGCTTAAATGAAATAATTTAATACAGCACACATCACGGTATAGGGCATGTACTTATCACCTAAAAAGATAGTCCTACTAAGATCAAAATGCTGTATGGCCTGTTTTTTTATGTTCTTCTCTGTTCCATGGAGTTGAAGGTACATAAATACAGAGAGCAAATTGAATATGGTTTTCTTAGGGACCTAAGTCATTCTCAATATATCATCAATAAATACCACCATCTTCATCACAAATACAAAATTAAGAACACATCAAGAACAAATATATCTAATGATTAGAGACACAATTCTGGCATCCAGAATGGTCAACACCAACTAAGAAACATTCACCATAGAATCTGCTGTTGATAAGACATATTTTCAGAGTATGTTACAGTAGTATTTCTCATAGTCTGATGCTTCTGGGAGAAAAGAAGTGTGTTTTTTGGTCTTTAAATCTCCTAAGGCATAGAGCAAAATAATGTGTACAAAAGCCACTGAACAGACAACTACAGAATTGAGAAGTGAAAATATTCTGGAGTTAATTTTTTAGTTTAGGTTGATCTTTTCTGAGACATAGAGGAAGCTAGGAGAGAACTGAACAGTAAGAGAGAAAAGACCATCTAAAAGGTTTTGTTCAGGGAAGAAAAGTGGGCCTCACCTTCATGTTAGTCACATCCCAAGAACATCTCCAGAGAGACCTTGCCAGCAATGGATGTGGGTGATGCCCAAGGTCATGCAAATAACAACAAATGGGACACATACCCAGGACCCTCCAACTCCAAAACCGTGTTCCCAACCAGCCTGCTTTATTCACACTACTTGTGATAATTCAAATTTTATTTGGTAATGCAAAGCTAGACAAGTAAGACATATACTAATTAAAGGGCTTTACAGAATCTAGCTTGGAAGAAGCCTGAAAGAACATTTAGTTCAAAAATCAATTATACGGAAAACATTTTTCAATATTTGAGTAAATTTCACAGTCTTTTCTTTCCTTCAAAATGCTTGCTTTCTCTCATTTCACTGTAAATTCAGAACATTTGTCCTTCTCTTATGATCTTTTTAGAACATAAAGATGCAAAGAATCTTTAACAATAATCTTGGTTACATAATAATATCACAATAAATCACAGTATGTATTGAGGGTCTAAGGCACAGAAAGTTAAATATCCTGCCCTAATATTTGCTGAGGTTTTCAGTGGTAAAGTTAGCATTGCTTTGGAAATGAAATCAGTAACTAATGATCACTTCAGACTCCCTTTCATCAGTAACATGAGAAACAGATGAAATTATTACCTGTGGCAACATGACGACCCATTCCAAATATGGCGTAAATGATGGCAGGAAACAGAGACCCGTATAAACCGAATACTGGGTGCACAGATGAAAGAATAGCAAAGGCCAGCCCTGTGAAGAAGACCTGGGTAATTAGGACCATCTTATACTTGCAAGACACAGCCCATTACAAAGTAGAATGGATATTGGTTTACTTAACATCAAAAGGAACCATAACTTAATTATTCTACTTGTTCAATGAGACAGAAGCATGATTGTCCTAAATAACAGAAAAGTCACTCGTTAGTTCCTATTTATATTTCACAGTTAAAAAACATTATTTTTGGATCACTACTTTTTCCCCTTGATTTCAGAGATGTCTACAAGAAAACACCAGCTCAGAGTGCCATCCTGGTAAAAGTGATAGCATCATAGCAAAATATCTCTGCACACACTTAGAGAAGCATTTTCACATGTATCATTTTATTTGCATAATAGCATCTGTGTGATAGGCAGGACTAGCAGCATTAGCACCAGTAGATGAGAAGCCTGATATGAAAGATGACTAAGTCTGAGCCCAAGGGATACACATTTCAAGGTGCATGGTTGGCTGGCTGACTGGACCACAGTGGCTGGGCTAATACATGAACCTATGCACTTCCCAACACAGGGCCCCAGCCTACTTCAGGGACAAGTTTCTTGGAATGGAAAAAAATCAACTTTGTTTATTCAAAGAGAAAGTAAGGAGTAACTCATAACTGCTCATTTGTATTCTCACAGACACTACTGCCCACATAATTTGTATGTGACATGCACATAGAAAATTTTCCTAGACATGTAAATGACCATTATTGGTTTCAGTGTAACCAAAATATACGTTTGTGAGCTCATTAAAGTGATCTTGTTTGTGGCTGGTTCTTGCTGGTTCTGATTAGTCCATTCAAGTCTGTGCAGTTTAATGATAGGCATCTGATCCGGCATAATGCACTTTACAAGGTTCAAAAAGACTTGAGGAAGGAAGAGGCATTAGAATCTAGATTACCTGAATATGAGGCACGTTAGAGAGCCTGGCAATCTGGTTCCAATATCAATAATTTCTACTGTTTAACTTTTACTGTTTTAAAATTAAGTTTAATTTCTTTTTAAATATATAAACTCTAGTTACATGTCAACTATTTTTTCAGTTAGTACAAGACATTTTAGGTATTATTAACATATATGAAAAATCTCCCAATGACCTTCTTTATTTTAAAAAATCCATCTGGGTTGCTCTCTACTGCCAATGTATTTCCAAGAATCTGGTGAAAATATATCAAAAGTGATTATAGAAGAGTCAGTGGCTGGGGCTGCTCTAGAACTTCACCCAGGCAGGATGAGACACAGCGATCCAGTTGTTGGGAAGGATGGTGTTAAGGTAAATATCCCCACCCCAACAAACAAGTACCTCCTCACATTTATAGTCTAAGCAACTTTGTAAAAAGTATAGTGTACATGACATAAGTCACATAGAAAGCTAGAACATAATTTTTTTCATCCATTTTCCAAATGAGTCACCTGATAAAAATTACCTATCAGAATGCCAAGTCTGGTATAATCACAAAAGAATGGTCTCTAAAAGACTCTGAAAGACACAATCTTTGAGACAACATGGGCTGTAGGTGTAGTAACAGTTATTAAATGCAGAGTAAAAGAGACTCCATATTCCCACATCAATAGCATCAGGAGTTTCAGGGCTTGTGAGCACTACTAAATTTCCAAGGGGCCCTGAGTGTGAAGCTGAACATACGCCACGAGCACCCTTTGCCCCTCTAACCTGGGCTGCAGGATGGCTTCCCAAGGCACAGCGCCTGGTGTCTGACCGAGAGGGACTGTGAAAGCCAGTAAAAAGCTCAGTCTCTGCGACCTAATAGGATCTCCTACTTGTGGGACTGCTTCTACTATAATCTCGTGGCTGAGATCTCTAGATAGTGAATCACCACTGGTGAGAGAAAGCAGTTTTTCAGAGAGAAGATGATGTTTTATAACTGTAAAACATAATGGCTAGAAATTGAGTGATGTATCAGAAGTTGGGAATTGGTGTGGAATTACACAGAGAGCCACACTATTGGAGATTTTACATTTTGTTGGCCTAGGGACCTCACCTCTTTATTGTAAGGTCAGGCTGCTAAGACCCAGAGCCACTGGTTTTACTCCCCTCAGGCTTGAATATAAGCACAACAATATTTTATAGACTGAGTCTTTCATTACGGAGCTTCAAATGCTACCCAGAAAACTACAGCTGATACAACTCAATGGACCCACTATTCATTTATAATATGAATAATAATATGAATAATAATATAATTATGGAACCACTAAATCCATTTATAAATCTAATAATGAAAATTAATTTTAGATATGTGGACACACACACACTTGCAAGGTCAGGGCTTATACATGGCATGGAATGTTTCTGGGCAGGTTACTGGCAGGCTGAACACCTTTGAGTATGTTATGGGTTCAACTGTGTCCCCCTGAAATTCATGCTTAAGTTCAAACCTCCAGCACCTCAGAATATGTCCTTACATGGAAATAGAGTTGTTGCTGATATACTTAGTTTAGATATGGTCATCTGGGAATAGGTGGGTCCCTAATCCAATATAACTGGTGCATTTATATAAAGAAATCCATGTGAAGAGACAGACAAGCACACCAAGGAATGACATGTGATAAGAAAGGCAGAGATCAGGTAATACAGCTACATGCCAAGAAACACCAAAGATCGCCAGCAAACCACCAGAAGCTGAGCAAGCGGCATGAACAGATTCTCCCTCAGAGCTCTCTGAAGGAACCAGTCCTGCTGACAGCCTGGTTTTGGACTTCCAGCCTCCAGAACTATAAAACAATAAATTCCTATTGTTTGAGCCTCCAGTTATGATAGTTTATTATGGTAACCCTAGAAAACACACAGGTGTCAGTTTCTGGAGGGACTGAAAGTAAGAGGTCATGAATGCTCACCTTCTGAAAAGGCTCAAAACACTTGTCCTTAGTGAATATTAAATAATGTTACAACCCCTGTAACTCCTAATTCATAATTTCTAAATCTATATAATACTGTTAAAATTTTATACCAAAAAATAGCATCTAAGCAATTAGTTCAGAAATAGTAAGGGTCTAGAGATTATGCTACTGAATGTGAAAGACAGTCTTTTGAAGAATGCTTACTCAAAACTCAAATTTAAGTTAAAGCCCCATCCAACTAGGGATTGTGTTTGACTGAAAGTATTGTTGGGACTCAGCATCTATAATTTTAAGGAAATAGAGCCTGTTGAACGTCTAAACGCCAATGTGAATAAAGATGGGTCAACCATCTGTGGAACTGTGGTCAGGTTTTCAAAGCTCTGTAGAACTGAGTTCCTATAAGAAGTAGTAGATTCAGTTGTCGCATTAATATCTCTAATTTCTAGTAAACAAGAAAGAAATTATTTGCAAAAGCGTCAAGAAAGCTGAACCCAGGCTGGCCTGCCTCTGCAAAGCCCTTAAAGGTTTCTGGCCTCTGTTCCCAGCCTGCATCTAACCTGAGCTGCTGCTAGAGCATTCAGCACCTGGGGCACATTAGAAAATGGCACCCCCTGCTGGACAATCTACCCCCTTTACTTGTGATCAATGACTGAGGAAATGCCACTCAGAATCTAAGCACTGATAGCTTTCCTGTATTTTTTTGCAAAAACGGAAAGCGTGTAGTATGGTCAATTTCAGAAAAGGAATCATTTCTTTCTGTATTCAATTTGTTTTAAGCTGCTAAACAGAAAACAAACCACTTTTCAGTGCGAAATGTTGGACTCACAGGATGAGTTACTGCATTTGGCTAGTAAAAAAGGAACTCTAGGATTTGAGATATTTGTTTTAAAACCAAAGCTGAGATTCTTAGCCTAATAAGTCATACCACTTGATAAATTATAACATTATCCAAATAACAACCCCTCAATAAAGATACTTCCTATGAGTAAAAGTCAGCCAATGACAAAAACTTAATTCTTTCCTTTAAGTGCCTGGGGGCTGGGGGTGGAGATGACATAGTGATATATTGAAATATAGAGCATCAGAGGTATTTTTGTATGCATTTCAAAACTTACTCTGAGTCCACAACTGCTAAAGATAGAAGCACTTAAAAGTTCTCATTCCAAGGAATAAGGACTAAGTATATTCCAATAATTCCATGAAAGAGAAAGAATTTGGAATTTGGAGAAAATACTAACAGTAAGACCCATAGAACGGAAATGAAAGATTCAATCTTGTGCTGCATTTCCTGATCAGTGACTTAAGGCTCTTATGAGCAGCTTTTTCAATGAAAGAGCAGTTTGTATGAACACCAGATAAGGAAGGCAACATAAACCTGAGGTACTTGGCTAGGTTAACAATTAGGGACAAAACAAGGACAGCTACCTAATGGAATATGAATTTCATTTTCATATTAGGTGTTAGGCAATTCTGTTCCCCCTCCCCCTGCCTCCCTCTCACTCACTGCCTCCCTTCAATACCTCCTTCCCTCCCTTTTTCTGTTTTTAAAATAATCTCATTTTGTGTGATTCAAGAGATGGTGCTGGAAATAACTGTAATCTCTTCACATTGGGACAGTGGGAAAATAAGAATATTGAGTCACTATAAATGGCCTGTCTGCTACACATTTCATTTCCTCTTCAAATGCAGACACATTTGTCCAGGCGTAAAGGCAAAATTGGTGCATTTATAGAACTAATAATGAAAATTAATTTTAGATATGTGGACATACACACATACTTGCAAAGTCAGGGCTCATACATGATGTGGAAGGTTTCTGGGCAGGTTACCGGCAGGCTGAACAAAGGGAATTTCTGTATGTCACACAGGACACCAACTTTTAGCTACTAGAGGGAAGCAAAGCCTAGACATGTCCTCAGTCCATACCTGGATTCTATTTGGAAAAACTTCTGCCTCCTTAGAAATCTAACTTGATTACTAACTACTGACTCCTACGTATTGCTGGGAATAATCATTTCTGAATTCTTGATAGAGTATATAACCTTCACAGAGCAGACAAAATGGACAAGTGCTCCGTGTTGCTCAAAGTCGCCCACCACAGCTTCAAGCTTCCTGAATTTCCCATAAGTTGG